CTGAGGCTGTACTTTTAAGTGAAATAAATCAGTCACATATGCTTAAATATTGCATCGTTCCTCTTGTGTGAGAAATCAAAATGGATGACAGATCTTGGGAAATAGGAAGAAAATGTTTAAGAGGAAAAGGGAACAAGGAAAGGATGGAAAAGGAAAAATATGGGAAGGGAAGGGAAGGGGAAAAAAAGAATCAAGATATATTATGTACGGGTACAAATCCCCCAAGATGAATGTGATCATTATAGCAAAACTGTACCAATAAAATTAATTTTAAAAATAAAAAATAAAAACAGCTGAGGAAGCAAAAATAGGAAGGTTGGCGTTTGTACAAAAATTAGAAACAAAAGAACAAGTGGCTTTCTACCAAGCAAGGAAATGTTATAATTCTTCAGAAATATCCCAATCCTCAGCAGAAAATGAAAACATAATATAAAAATAAGCAAAAATACTGCTGCATGTGCTCCACTGCTGCCCACAGTTCTGTATATCACAGAGCAAATCCGTATTTTATTTATAAAGTAAAATATTTATCTTTAGGAGGATCATTATGTAGTAAAAATTTATAATAAGTTTGAAGCTAATATTACTGGTTATTATTATTATTCCTTTTCAGAAGGAACAAACTGAGCATGCCTTATTCACCCTTGCAGTAGACGTATTTACTTCTCTCCAAATAGCCCCTTATCCTCCATGTCTCTCAACTGTGTGCACTGAAGCAAAGTCAAATTCAATCTGTACGAGGAGGTCATGTGCATCCCTTCCTCAGCAGGAGTCAGTGTCCATCCGGGCCTTTTCCCCTTCTGTAATCCTGAAGGCCCTGGGTTAGGTTCAGCCACTGCATAGGAGAGAGGGTGTTACTCCAAAGCATCATGTTCTCAAAGATAAAGCTTTTAAAGGGCGATTAAATCATGGGGACACTCTAGCTAACTGTGGTGGTAGTAGCTGGGCCTGGTCAGAAGAGGTGAGTCACTGGGGTGTGTCCTGGTACGGTAGCTCTTCTTCCCGGTGGCTGCTTTCACTGTCCGCTTCCTGGACACCATGGTATCAGCAGCTTTCCTCCAGGGCAGGCCCAGCCTCCATGCCCCTTCTGCCTTGGAGCCTGCTGACAGTGAGTGGACTGACCTCCCAGCACCGTGAGCCTTCCTCTCCATCTCTGAATTGCTGCTGTCAGGTATTCCTCCCAGTGCAGAAAATGTGGTGAAGACAGAAGGGAACCAGAAAGTCACTTTATGTCTCTCAGAATTTGTGTGAACAGGATATAAATTTCAATTGTGTGAAGCCTCAGAGATGTAAGCCTGACTTTTCTAACTAATCCGGTTTTAATCTGTCACCTCTTTTTATGTTATTTTTAGCACTTTGAGCTATGTTAAGATGCTTGGACAAAATAAGATCAGCTTACTCTATGTAGCCTACTAGCTCCTAGCAGTAGCCGGGAGTATCAGAACTGGGGAAGAAAGGCTGTGTTATTGTTTACCTTACCTAGCATCTCTGCTCAACTGAAGGCCGTAGGTTTTTTAGTCAAGATTCTGTTAACAGGTCCTAATATTTGTATGTGTATATTTGAAACATATTTTCTTCCCCCACCCCACAAAAAAAAAACTCCATAATGTTCCTCTAAAAGGAATTTTCACAATGCCTCTAAAAAAAGATCTTTCTTTGACCTGTTCAACTACCAGTGACTTTGGTTCCCAGTCCCCTTCTCCCACTCATCATAATGAACGGGTCCTAAGCATATGAGGGATTAGAGGTGACTAGCAGCATTTAGGCCGGGTGACTTCATACTGTCGTGCTGCCCTTCTGTCTAATGACTCTTGGGATAGTAGATATGTTCCCAAACGTATTGGCAGTGTCCGCAATAGCGGAAACCTTGTCAGTCTGGGAAAATGCACTGAATTACACATACTGTTCAAGCTCTCATAGAGCTAACGGCTAGATGAGGTGGAGAATAATGTTACTGTTTATCTGAGAGCTGACCGAATACCCAAATGCTAGTCACCTAGTTATACTGAGCCATAAGAAATACCATACAGGCTCCTGCAACTCCAAGCATTTCAAAGTCTTCCCCTTCTGACAAAGCCAATCAAAACAGGGAATTAAATAACTAAACAGTCCTTGGGCTAAAATATATTTTGAAAGAAAGTGAAGAATATATCCCCAGATCGCATCTTGATGCTGCTGTTGTTTAAGATTGAGAAAATCATACCTTGACATTATTTGTTTCAGGAGAATCTAAAAGCTTGCCCTAATTTATCATTCTAATTTCAGTCCTATGGGTGACACATAACTTGCATATAAACATGCCTACGGCGAAACATGTATTTCTCTACAACCTCAGTGCACTAAAGAGCATCCATTTATCTGAACAACCAGCTGAGAAAAGCTGATGTGGTTTAGAACCAAATGTGTTTATCTTAGGTTCCTCTTCAGACGATTTCTTCACCTTACTTTTTGATGCCAACATACAGCTTATACTCTGTTCTCTATCTTGCACAGCCTCACTGTTAGATGTCATTATTCACCAACTGGCTTTGTCAGGGATTACCATTCATGATTCTCAGCAGTATCCATATCTGGTCCTCACAGCTTCTGAAAAGCTCCATAGAACAACTTGACAGAGATAATAAAAATAATAGGCAGAGTGACAGAGGAGTAGATTTCAATTTGTTCAAGAAGCCAAACATACCGAATAATACCTATTCACAGTACAGTACATATTCCTAGTAAATTGAAAGTTGCCTTTAGTGTCATAAAGTTGCTCAGAAAAGCCTTGAGCTTTTACACTTGAAATTATCTTTACCAGAGTCAAAGACCTGAAGCCAATTCTCAGAGCTGGTGCAGTGTGTGGTGAAGAGGGTTGTCACCTTCCAGCTACATGATGCTGGGGAGGACATGCAGACTGTCCTTGCCTGTTTCTCTGTCTGTAGGGTAGGGATCATAATAATGGGCGATGCTGAAGAATAAATGAGTTCATATGTAGGAAGTACCCAGAACACTAGCACACAAAAGGATGCTATATAATGCAGGCTAATGGTATTGTATAGCACATCTATTACCAACACTGTGTCATGATATCCATAACAATACAATTTAATGTTAATGTTAATACAATTTAATCCTTTTAGGTGTATTAAAAATTATCGCTTCTAACTACACTATGTTGATTGACAATAGCGATTTGATTTTATGTGTCTCGTGGAATAGGTCATCATTGTAAAACGAAATCCCAGATGGCATTTATCTCTCTCAGAAAATAAACTGTAGGGGGAAAACTGATACTAATTTTCATTTTATTACAAAGAAGAAAGCCCATGGAAGTCAAGATGTAGAATAAGTGGGTTTCTTTATGACTTGTAGGTACTGGGCACACTGAGTTTTTTAATAATCATCTAATCCTTAGGCCAACAATTTCTCAATTTGGGGACACATGAGCTTATGTGAAGCTGGATTTTCACTTTCCTTTGCATATAACTACTGAGTTGATTTTGGGAAAAAATACGAGAGGGATTTTTTTAAGCACTGTTTTTAATATGAATCAAATGGCATTAAGTGCATTAGCAAATAGTCAGCCAAAGGTTCAGGCCGGAAGCAGTTTGAACTTTGTCAGGCTGAGTCGCTGTCACAGTATACACAGCTCTGGCGTCATGGCTGGAACCTGCCCAGACACACAGGAATGAATGGGTGGCCACTGATGCTGTTCTTAGAAAAGCAGGCATTAGTGGACTGCATCTGGTCCATGGGTCAGAGTTTGCTGATCCCTACTCTACGAAATAGTTTTTTGTTCTTGTGTTTTTCATTAGACACATACACTCATGCACACTGTGTGTTTGCAACTACACATGCAAGCACACTGTCTTGAAAAATCAATAAATTGCCTAAAATATTCACTATAAGATGTTTGAGGAAAACATAGAATTTAAAGGAAATGACCTAGGTTATTTTATACAACATTATTAAATACCCAAATCTCTCTCTGACCAAGAGCTAGTATGGTCTAACATTTTGTATTTGTCCTAAAATCACTCTACAGAGTTTAATTTGCCTAACCAAACTTTTCCTAAAAATTCTTTAAATGTTCCTGTTACTTATGATAATGTTATATATGTTTTAAATGTTAGAACCAAGGAGCTAGATTAAAGGGAAAAATCTATGCATGTGGACTCAGGCAATCAAATCTCTTTGATAAAAATAATTTCCAAATTATTACAGGGAATTGAGGTTTTCTTTATGCTTATTTTTTAATGTCAAACCTGTCTGCCTTTAATATTCATTAAAAGACTTATTTACTGTGTGTGATGCTCACAGATACCCATTAAAACACTTTGTAAAGGACCTGGCCTAGTCACTGCTGGTGATACCTGAATGTTTTCTGGGATAGAGAAGCAGCCTTGTGCCTTCTAAGTAATTCAGTTTATCCTAGGTACCACACCAGTTAAGATTATATTTTTAGGTGGCATTTCTAAGCAGAACACCAATCTGGAATGCCTTGTAGGATTTTGAATGTCAAAATAAGTTTAGTACTCCATAGAGAATATTTAATTAGTTGTCAGAAAATTCTTCTCTCCATCCTGTGCTGGGGAAAGTCAATGCAGACTGGGCTAGAGGCCCAGACTTTTAAAGCTTATTGGATATAATTAACAACTTACTAGAATGAATGTATTCTTTTGGGAGAGAGTATGATTGCCTACTATTTATTAACAATTTAAAAATGTACTCTTCCTTGGATATAATACTTGCAAAGCACTATTAGAATGAAGGAGAGAGAGAGAGAGAGAGAATGCAGAATTAGCATTTTTAGTACTCTATCCCATTCATCTGAGATAGTACCTAGCAGGTTATAAATCCTCAGCATTGGAGGGCTATAAAGAACTATTATGATATCCACCTTGTTACACAATATGAAAGAGAAATGACTTAAAGTTTATAATGAGCTAGTGAGCTGCCTGATGTAATCAATGTGTGTGTATCTGAAATGGAACTGTTAATTTTCTGACTTTTTACAGAAAGAAGCCAGAATACATTACCAACCCTTTGAGAACTCAACATAAGGCACTTCACGATTTTACTACTTCCTTAGGTAGGTAACACCCTACCTTCTCTACTCTGAGTTACCCACGTTTGTGAAAAATAGCTTTTTGCTGTTGTTTTTTTTTTTTTAACTCTTAAGTAAATATCAATTTGGTTTGGTAAAGAAGAATACATGAACTGCACAGCTAACAGGTTCAGAATTACTAAGGTAGCATTTATAGCGTTTGAACTGACAGTGCTAAAGAATGCAAAGATGCTTCTGTGGAACGATGATTATACCAAGCCTGCCTGTCTTTCTGTGGTTAACAGCACCAACAGTATTTTCCCAGCACCTTCCACTTGCTCCTGTGTGTTTGACTTGACATAAACTAATTTATTTTTTACAGAAACTGTGAGACTGTAGGTTAATACCAGAATCATGTCATTTTATACATTAGGGGCATGAGGCCAACAGCAGTGTCTTGCTGATTATTTCATTATTGGAGTTTTAAGCAACAAACTGCATAAAGTTTCAAAGCAAAATAGTTTCAAAATTACACTAAATACCCAAATACCTGCCACGTGGTTTAAACAGATGCTAATCTCCAGCTGTATGAAAAGCTTGCGTAAAGAAAGAAACTCCCGCAGAAAAAAGAAAAGCTTTTCTTTCTGTCTCACTTTCCTCCTTGGTTCCTGAGAAGTCTTCTGATAGGTGTGTGACTTGTGTCTGAATCAAGCAGCGTGTGATTTTTCACATCTTAGAAGTATGCACAAGTTTGTATCTGGGCGAGGGGATGCATCTGCAGCCTGCCTTCCCCTACCTTTGTATTTATATCCATCCAGACTGGTACACGAAGATGTGCTTGGCTCATTCTGACTGTTAGAAAGTGATTCATTCGAATATTTTTATATGCTGGTGCTTACTATTGTTTCTAAATTACTTACAGTACTTGGCATATTTAATGCTAAAAAGGTTTAAACATGACTTGCAGAAACATTTGGAATTTGCCTATATGTTTTGTTTTCCACTAAAAACACGTTTTGTTTTGTTTTTTAATTGGCTCTTAAGGTCTTGCTGATCTAATAGGAACCGTGATTTTTACTGTTTTGCCATAACGTAGTAATTGAAATGTATGCTGTTTCCCCATGGATGAAATACTGACTTTTCCAAAATATACTAGAAAAACCATTTTTGAAATTTAAGATACTTAAAAGAGAAATACTTTTGAGGGGCCCATGTTAATTTCATTTATTCTCTTAGAGTATCAAGGGGAAAGTTAAAAAAAATTCTTTACAAATTGTTTTCTACAGTTAATTCTAGAATTTGTTTGTACATAAATGGAACTTGCATTTGTTCCAATCATATTTATTGGGATCCGTGTATGCTTACTGGAGACTGAGATTTAAAAGGTAAGGCATACACAACATCTACCTGAAATGAGATAACAGGCTATTGGTAGATCTGAAGATTCATTCAGTGACTATAAAATGTGGCCTTTTAAGTAGATATTTATAATGACATTGTTACTCATGTGACAACCTTTCATATCACCCAACCATGCCAATTTCATTAAACTGAATAGGATAATACGTTAATAAAACTGCTTGTTAAATAAACTCCTTTGCAATCACTTGCCAGTGTTGCTAATTACTATACTATATACAATTTGAGGTTCAATACTTCCAGCATAACATGTAATTCCACACATACAGGTTGATTTAGGTGTCTGAAGTTTAAGTCTTAATATTCACTTAAAAACTCCCTTTAATATTTACAGTGCAGTAGTTAACAGCTCTGAGTGTCATTTTGTCTCCAGCCCCCATAACCCACTGGGGATCTATTAATTAATGTCTTCAAGGCTCTTAAGTCATAGTGCCAAGCTTATTCATGTCTCACCGTCTCCATTTATCATTTAAATTCGGGGTCTCCCACTTTTACAGCTTTGTCAGCTCCTTACCCACCTTTATCTTAATGTCTATTGTCATCACAGAAGTCAGAGTGGCCTTTTTAAAAATATTAATCGGTACGACTCTTTTGTTCAAAACCCACTAGTGATTATTTAGAATAACCCGTTATTCTACTGTGACCAAGAAGATGCTACATAAAGTGGCTTCTTCTCCCTCCATGGCATTTCCTACCAAGGGCACAGACAGTGTCAAATTCTAAGCTGTCCCCAAACCAAGCCTGTGCTGTTGACCTTTATTCGTTGAAAGGTAAGAAGGGGTACCAGGGTTGCTGGGAGACAGGGCTGGGAGATGCTTTGCTCACACACTATTCAGGGCATACTGGCGACCATTGTCGCCCATTTAGACTTTTTACTTTTGTCTTAACAGTGGCCATCACTTCTGCAGCGCTAAGGGTTGTGTCTCTGATGCATGATTTTAGGGCACTATGAAAGTCTTAACGTTGCTGATTTATAGCCTCAAGTCTTAATGTATATGATCCAAAACTTCACATAGCCAATTTCAGGCTGAATTTCTGACAAATTTCAGCCAAGGATATGAGAAAAATATTTGGAGAGCAGAAAATATGTATTATTTCTCACAGTCTTTTAACTAAACTATTTTTAATAAGATTTGCCACAAACCAGCAAGGCTTACATTTTATTTTACCTACAGGATAGATTTAAATGTTTTCTTGTTCATAAATAAGAGAAGTTTATCCATCTAGACAAAGCCTTTTGTAAAACAGACTGACTGATTTTGTTTGTTTCGTTTTCACAACATCCCCAGGAAGCAGTACTTAATGACTATTTATATTGTTGAGAACATTTGGCAAGAGAAAGCCAAGCGATAGGGCCACAATCCTGCAGGCGCGATAGGAAAGAGAGCCCACACCTGGCGTTCTCAGCGTCCTCTGGTGAAATGAACACCTTGACATATGCTGATTACAGCCCCATGGTGTTGAGCCCTGGTCCACTGCTCTCTGGGTGAATAATTTTAGGTGCAGATTAAGCGTTCTATAAGTGAATTGTATGGAAAAACTAGGATACCAAACATTGCCTCTCTGGACAAGCCATCCGATTCTGTCCCTACTGTACTATCAGCCACCAGTCATAGCCAAGCCCCAGACTACTCTGGCTTTAAGTGATCAAAAACCTATTCCAGGGCTGAAGTGCTAAATAGAGACCTCTCACGGATGACTAGAGACAGAAAGAGAAAGAAATACCCACACACTCTGGCAGGAGTTAACAATAACAGTCCTCCTACTTAACGGGTTGAGTCATGAGCACATTCTACTGATTCCTCAGCAATTGTGAGCAGATTGTTTAGGCTGGGTTCTGTAGGCAGAGGTGGGCGCACCTGCTACAGAAAGCTCCAGCTCTTGCTGGGAGGGCCCTGGTATTAAGTTTTGTCCTTTGACAGTTTGGCCAAGTGGAAATAGGGAAAGGAAACATTTGGTGCTGACAGACATTTTTTCCTAATGCTTTCAATACAAGATTGGTAGTCTAAACATGATTGTTTACTGGCCATGAGTGTCAAATCACTTTAAAAGGAGAGACTTATTTTATAATTTTTTGACCATCAAATATTACAAGCTATCTGCAGTCAGAAGTCTTTTGGAAATCAATAGCAGTAGCTTTGTCTCAGTCAATTTGAAGAAAGGGTCCAAATTGATAGAAGTCTACTTTTGCTTCAATAGAAAAGAAATTATTTTCTTATTTTTAATTTTTATTTTAAAGAGGGTAAAGTTAAACAGAACAAAACAGATCATAAGGAAACAATTTTAAGAAACACAGATTTCAAAGCAAGACCGCTGGAAATCTAGAAGAGAGATTATTATGTGATTCCTAAAATACCCTGTATTAGAGCGTGCTTTGTTAGCATAGCACAATACCAAGACTGGGTAACTTTATAAGAAAAAGAGGTTTAGAGGCTGAGGATTTAGCTCAGCGGCATAAGCGCCTGCCTTGCACGTGTGTGGTCGTGAGTTCAATCCCTGGTACCGATAAAAATGAAAAAGACAAAAAAAAAAATTAAAAAAAGAAAAACAGGTTTGTTTCAGCCCATTGTTTTGGTCCAAGGAAAAGAGTCCAGGGTTCAGAGATGGCCTTCTGCTGACAGGGTTCCAGGGCACTGCAGGGGCTCACATGGCAGTGGGCAGTACATATGTATCCTCTCTTACATTTTAGAAAGCAACAAATAATGCAGGTATGGGGAAATCACCCTGATGATCTTATCTAATCTAAACATGGCCCAGGGCCCTACCTCTAAGTACCATAGTTGGATATTGTCCGCCCTTATAATAACAGGGCTTACATTTCAACACATGAACCCATGCATAGCCCTGAAGCCATACCGAAATGATAGTATTTATTGTGATCCAAGGATTGAAAGAGGGTTACCCAGATCATCTGGAACTAGGAAGTAAACAGGAGCCCAAGGCTTCATCCTCCCAGCCTCTCTCACTCCTCTCTGCTGCTTCTTGATTCCACAGGACTGTCCATAGCTCTGCACACAGAGATGCGGTCCCTAATGCTCTTTCTCCAAGCATCGCTCTTGAATTTGTGTGCCTGTCAGTGTCAAGCTGATATAGCAGTTGTTCCTCAGTTTTTAATTACCCAAACTTTTTACCACATAGGCTATGACTGTTGCAGTAGAACAGTTGTATATACATGGTTGCTAGCATCCTATGGCTTTGGGAAAAAAAGAAAGAATAGAAACAGAGCCTTAATCATAAGCTAATACTGTCAAAAGCTATTTTAAAATCTCACATTGCAGTTTACTTACTCTAGCCCTCTTATTTTATTGGAAACAAGCATGTTTCTGGTCATTCACATACACATGTGTATTTTATGATTGTCAAGTCATGAACGCCCAGTTAGTAGGCAATTCAGAAATGAAGGACAACTAGAATCCTTTAATGGTCCTGTTCTTCCTCTCCTTGCCCTTTGGAACAGAAATAAGCACTTTTCAGGATGAACAGGAGTTGCAGGCAAACAAAAGAAAACAAGTAATGCACAAAACAACCAGCCCAGGAAAATTGGGAAATAGAACAAGGACCTTGAATGAGCCCTTTGGATGCAAAGTTTTGTCTTTAGTTTATATGCATTTCTATAAATATATAAC